TGCTAATCTTGAGACCGTCAATTTAACCTCCACCAAGGCATTTAAAAGAAATGACATAATTAAAAAGGATGCCTCTACTTCTTGCAATGATTTATATTTAGACTCACCCTTTTGCAACCAAGCTTGTGTTAAGAAAGTGATTGTAGATACATGCACACAAGAGGTTGTAAAGGAGAATGAGCAACTCAAGCAAGAAGTAGTTCGCCTCACCAAGGACTTGACTCAAGTGAAAGGCAAGGCGAAGAAAACCCAACTTCATCAAGATAACACCACCGTCAAGGGAGTGAAGAAGCTTGATGAAGGACAAACCGTGGTTTGCTACGTGTGCCACAAAGAAGGCCACAAGTCCTATGAGTGCAAGGTGAAGAATGGGGGAGGAGCAAAGAAGAAGGAGAAAAAGCAAACAATCAAGCTCTCCAACACCTACACCAACAAGGTGGACAAGAAGGCCTCCACACCTTATCTCTTGAAGAAGAAGAAAAATGACAAGGTGGTGGCCATCAAGGTGAACAAGCAAGCCAACAATGGGGTCAAACGCTTTTGGGTGCCAAAGAAAATCATCTCCAACATGAAGAGCACCAAGAAGGTTTGGATCCCGAAAGGGAAGTGAGAAGTCCGTCGGACCTCGGGGAATTTGGAGACTTGGCAAAGTAGGGGTGCATTTCATGGAGTGCATCAAGATGGACAAAGAAATTGCCAAGTAGGTTAGTGAATACTATGGACCCAAATTCCCCTTCCCATGTCAGGTAACTAGATGTTATTACTTTTTAATTGGTACATCTTGCAACTAGATTTTCATACAATTGGTATCTTTAAGCATCTTGTTACTCTTCATACCTAGGGTTGCATTTGCATGCTTATATCTTTTGTCATGCATACACTAGGTATTTCATATGGTAGGCTTGCTCGGTCTCATTTTTAACCCTTGGAGCAAACCTACATGGTTTAAAATTGCTTAGGAGCACGGCACATAGCTTGTCTTACTATTGTTTATCTAATATGTGCCAAAGTCCAAATTGTAGATAATTTTCTCCCAAATATCATCTTTCAAGTGGTATTTTGACTCAAAAATCAATTGTGCATGAGTACTACAAGTATTCCATGTCTCCATGCACAAATTTAGGGGGAGGATCATCTACAAGATGGACGCTTTGAGACTAATACCTTTTTCAAGTTTATCATGTGTGTAGTGGTCTCATTGCAAGAAAAATGAAGTCCCCGAAAAGAAGCATCGTTCTTCAATTGGCATCATCATGTTGATTTCATTTCATATTTATATGCTTTCTCCATGCATTATATATTAAACTCTCTTGTGCAAAATATTGCTAAATATGCATATGCTTTGCTTTTCTACCATATGTATGCATATATTTAGGGGGAGCTTAGTCTATATAATGCGAGAGTCAAATTTTGTGATCCATTTCTCTCTATACGCAAAGGATCATGAAATTTGACCCTCCCTTGTGCTACTAATGTCTTCCTTTTTAGTGTTTGATGCCAAAGGGGGAGAATTTGAAGGATCAAAGGCAAGCATCAAGTTGATGTCTACAAGTGGTAATGGTCCGAGAAAGGGAGGAAAGTGAATTATGGATTAGTCTATGTAATAGGAGAATTTTTTTAGAAAGATAGGCTTTAATCCATAATATCACATGGGGACATTTGCAAGGGCAAGACATGTTTTTAAGTAAAGTTTTAATTGGTATCTATCAATTAGTATCATATAACCTTGCCCTTTATATTGCATCCTAGCAAGTAGATAATTTTTAAATTTAAAAATTTTATCATTTGCTTGCTTTGGTCGTGTTGTCATCAATCACAAAAAAGGGGGAGATTGTAAGGAAAATGGACCCTTGGCCCATTTACTTTGGATTTTGGTGTTTGATGACCAACACAACCAAATTGGACTAATGAATTTGCAAGTGTTTGTTTTGTAGTCCAATAGGGTGCAAGACGTGACTTGGACGAAGGCGACGTGATGATCTGATGATCAACACCTCAAGCAAGACCTTAGAAGCACAAGAAAAGACCCAAGATGTAAAGCAAAGTCCAAGCATGAAGATAGGAACCAAGCCGTGCGCAAGATCGCGAAGAAACGAGTTCACAGAGGCGACCGGACGCTGGACCGGACGCTGGAAGCGCGATCGGACGCTGGACCGGTGGCTCGGCAGACAGGCGACCGGACGCAAGGACCGGACGCTGGCGGCAACCGACCGGACGCAAGGACCGGACGCTGGCGGCAACCGACCGGACGTAGACACGCAGCGTCCGATCGAGTACAGATAGGTTCCAGGCGCGCGAAACTGCGACCGGACGCGTCCGGTGGCAGGCGACCGGACGCTGGCAGCGTCCGATCGGTAGTTCGCGGCTGCAACGGTCGGGACGACCGGACGCGTCCGATCAGGACGATTCAGCGTCCGGTCAGTAGCAGTTTTGCGGGAGTTCGACCCCAACGGCTATTTTCTCAGTGGGGCTTATAAATACAACCCCCAACCGGCCATTTGAGGAGTGTGGAGCTGAGGAAACATATCTAGGATGTTGATACACCATTTTAGTGATCTCCACTTGCTAAGTGCTTAGTGTTTTATCAGGTGATTAGCATAAGTGCTTTGAGAAGTGCTTAGGTTGATTAGACCACCGCTTATGCGCTTGCTCTAGGTGTTTGCCTAGTGTTTAGTGAGGTTTGCATACCTCTTGCCACCCCGTGCTTGCGAGCACAAGAGTTGTACATCGGAGGGGCTTGAAGTCTTGCGAGATCGCACCAACCGCGTTTGTGGTGCGGCCGCCACCGTGTACCGAAGGAAACAAGGCCCGCGGCGTTTCGGCCGAAAGCTTGATAGTGAAGACGGCGGGGAGCATCCGGGAGAGGCTTGCCGGAAGGCACATCGGAGACCCACTTGCGCGTGGGGAAGGCCCGAGGCTATCCACGGAGTTACCCGACCGGGAGCTTGGCCCTTGCGAGGGATTCCTTGCGAGGGGCTCCAATGAGGACTAGGGGGAAGCTTGCGCGCTTCTCGATACCTCGGTAAAAATACCGGAGTCGTCGACGGGAGTTTGCATATCTCTACCTTGCTCTTTAAGCTTCCGCATTTACATTGATCATATTATTATCATTTGCGGTAGAGATAGCAACACACTAGCAAAATCGTAGTTGCACATCTAGATAGATTATCTTTTGCATAGGTTTTGCTAGAGTTAGAAAAAGAGGCCATAGTTTGGAGTTAGAATTTTAAGTTGTCTAATTCACCCCCCCTCTTAGGCGTCCACGTGTCCTACACATTCAAATATCATGCATGTGTCAGGATGTAATTAGATCAAGCAATGCACGGAGCAACCTAATGCTTGTTCTGGTGAAGAACGATAAGGATACAGGGCTTGTTTGCTTTGCGCCCTCGCCCGGGGATCTGCACCTAGGCAGGTGCATCCGACCACAGGCGTGCCTGGCCCTCTAGGACGAGGATCAAACATGCCCACAATGCAGCAGAGCAACCAACAAGTTGCAGAATAAGTTTTGTTGAAAAGCCTGGTTAAAAAGTACTGTTCGTTGATTTGTTATGAGAGAAAAATACTGTTACTTCGTTGAAAAAGTACGGCCGAAGCGAACAGGGCCAGTTGAGGCAGTATGGCACACAAGATGAATTTAATGCACCTACCAAGTGGCAAGCAACGTTAATAGTTAATACCACCCCAGCACGGGGACTAAAATTGATGAGGATTCAGAGACAACGTTCATCAAGCTGCCACTGCACAACTCACAGTAGGTCTAGCTTGCAACAGACAATGCCATAGCTCTGTGACAAAGTGGAAGAGACGGGTGGGAGAAAAGTGGTGACTGCTATTGTTCTTTGTTTGGGCTAGGGATGTTTGATAGTATTGGGACAATCTATAATGTCAAACCTTGGAGTTTTACCTGTTGAGACAGCTAATAACTAAAACATTCAAACAGTACAGTAACGGTGATCTTCTTATATTATGCAGCATCACTCCATCAAGCAGAAACAACTGATAGAGCAGAAACAGCTCTGCTTCAATGGCAAGCATGTGTGGCAATAACGGATGAGGCAATCTAACAAGTTCCCTTTCAAATATGTGGTGCATAGCCCAAACTGGCTAGCTGAACTTAGCTACACACTCTATAAAAGCTACTAATGTGCAAACTTGGAAGTCAAGTTTAATCCCTGAAGAAACTGATGAAACATGTAGCAGAGAAAGATACTTCCACGAGCGATCTCCTCGTAAGTCTCATCATCAATTTCTACAGTAGTCACTACCTCTTCAACATCTCCAAGTATCATATTGAGATGTTGGTCATACGCCTGCATTGGAGGAATCATAAAGGCAACTCAGAATCCACAACAAAAATAGGAATATTAGATGAAAATCAGGAGGCAATAAAAAGGATGGCACCCATGTAAACACAAAGCTGTTACATTTGCAAAACAATGTGTGCAATAGCAACAGAAGACCAGGGTGGATGATAACAGAGCCTTCTAACATTCACGACAAATCAACCCAAACCATACAGCAGAACATTATAATTACACAAGCTGATATGAGCTGCTTATTATATGGAACATAACAAAAAAAAGGAAATGTAAGGTCAAGTCAGATGTTCAAATGTTTAGCCAGTTGATGAATGTTCTGTCAAGCAACAAAATTATTATTATGTAATAATCAATAAAATTTGTTATTAATATTTTAGGAAATTAATGTTTCAAAATTACATATGACGATCCCTGGACCCACTAACCAGGGCAGCCACAGCTGTTTATATAATGTCTATAATGTTTTCTTGTACCAAACATTTGCATTAAGAAAAAATAGATGACATCGAAATATAGACTTTTCAGTTACTAGATACATCATGTTAGGCAGAATACACCGCCCGGACAACTGCCTAACCTTATTACAGCATCAGGCACTGATAAGTGATGACTAACGTCAGTTGACATAAAGGAAATGATTGCTAAGGATCGCTAGGAATCAAGACTGTAAGCACCTCCTTATTCTTTATCATCATGGCTACAATCACTGGCATCACATTCAATCTCGTCTTCACTATTCTCCACAACATGCGCAAGGGAATTGGCTTGCAGCGTCTTAAAACTGCTTATGAAGTCGGTTGCTTCTGAGATGAGAGCATTTTTAGCAGTCTTCACACTACCAGCTTGCTGCTCAGAAAGAGACTTCCCAGAATCAGCAGCTTTAGAGCCTGCTGGTGTCCTTCTGCGAGGCCTTTTTGTGCCTTTTCTACGTGCCAATTGATCAATGTACTTCTCATGTAAGATAACATTCTTTATAGGCTTTAGAACTGCTGGGCTCGGTTCAGATGGCTTAGTTCTTAACCTTGAAAATGATTTCTTTCGTGCTGAAGAACTTCCACTGCGCTTGCCTAGAGAAGCTGAATTCATACAACTGTCAGGAGTCCCAGGAGAATCTTCAAAAGATAAGTTCAATTGTAAGGCACTTGGTGAGCATTCAAAAATTGAGAAGTGGTCAGCCTCTTGAGCTTGGTCAATGCGGCAATGCTTCTGCAACAAATGCTTCACTGTCTTCTGAGCTACTAGACTCTTCTGTTTAGCGTAGGTTCCAAGATATTTGGAAGTTCTGGATCAGACAATGTGAAATTTCCTATAGGAGAATATGTTGTTTTACTTGTTCTGGGACGTGGGCCAATTGGAGTCGGTGTTGAGAGGTCAGAATAAATTCTGTTGAAGCAGTCTTCAGCAGATCTCCCAGGCACTGAAAAGAGTTGTGTCAAAAATCACTGAGGCAATAAATGACAAAGGAAGAATCCACACATAAAAGAAGAAATATGCCGGATAAGAAATAGGACCTACCACTGAAATATTCCAGTGAAGTATGGAAAAGAAAAGCAAATTGGCACTATGAAACCTCAGTCTATTTTGATTGTACGATCAAGCCCATTAGTCCCCAAGTTTTTACATTGTGCAATTATTTGTTTAAAAGTTAATGGTACATTTGATGAATTGAGGCCACCGGATATTCATCTTTTTTCTAAGATGTTTTATTATTTGAATCTGTCTAATCATATCCTTTTGTTCACAGAATTAGCAAATCTGTACACTATGGAAAAAAAAAAGAATGAACCGTTATTGAAACTTAATGATGTATGAGATATTGTTTCTACTAAAATGGTGCATTAGAATCTCAATGTTTGTATATACCAGAAGAAAAGGAACCAAATTGATCAGCACAAAACTTAGTTCCATAGAACATTAACAATGTTAAGTTTATCAAGGCCCATATATTGTAGGCCCATATGCCTACGAGGACGCCTATATATTGCAATCATCCTCATCCCTAAGGGATATATTATCTTCTCAAATCCCCAAGGTTAGTAACAAACAAGTCCAGTCAACAATTAATGACTTTATTAACTTTCAGCTATGAATCTTCATATGACACCCACATCATAGATACATTTCTAAAACCTTGATAGTAAAAACGGATTGGTGAAACACAATACAAAATAACATGTGAACAGACCATGTGCACTGAGATTCTTTTCTGAAAAATGCAAAAACATTTTTGGCCACAACACTTCAGCATTCTTGTCCTTTTTCATGTAAGCAAGTCAAACTAGTGTATAACAATGTTTCTTCGGTCAGCTCTTGCAACTTATAAGAAATGAAAGACACTAAAGGAAATGATGTAAATACTAGGTACCATTTTTGAAACTTTCTTCCAGAAATGTGGGGATGGTCGGGCACTGAAGTAAGCTTTGCGCAATGCCATGTCCTGCTCTTTTGTCCAATCATCAGAACCACAAAAATTTCCCATTCCTTCTCTCTCAGTCCCACTTGGCTTGTTGATGTTTTCATCAATGTTTGTCAGCCTCTCATCACCAATTTTAAGCTTCGCCTCAATAGAAGGGTCCTTTTCAATCCTTCTGTGGGTGGATTTACTGGGTTCATTGCGAGGTGCAATTTCTTGGCAATACGCAGGCAATGGTTCGGGGTCCTGGCAACTTTGCTTCTTCGATGACACCCTCCTTTCTGTTCCTCTCTTCCTCTTTCCTGTCTGAACTTTACAATGATTGGGCTTTAACTCTTGCTTGTCACTCTTTTTGTTAGATACATCTGAAATATCTTTCCTAGGAGGAAATACAGCACTTCCCCTATTCCTTTTCAGGCTCTCTTGATTTTTGTCTTTCCTATGAGCTGTTTTAGTCTTTCTGTTAGCAGAGGTCTCCCGGCGATTTGGTGGCAACAGTGACTTGCCCAAACTCTTATCTTCCACATGGAATCGTGGGGATCTGCGAAGAGGCGTAATTGCTGATTGATCAGCCCTGGCTTTATGTTCCTACAAGAGGAAGTTCAAATGACAATGCTATTTCTCATAATCTATGAATCAAGTATGAAACGAATCAAGCTTCTAACTAACAAACATGATAACATTCAGGAATGAAATGGATGGTACTAGTAGAAAAAAACTAAGTCGAGCAAGAGCAACTCCTACCCCGCTTACATCATCGTCTATCACAATTGGATGCTCAGGGTCTCTTCCAGCGAGCCGCGACAACTGGCGTAATGGTGCCCTCGGCTGCTGTGCAGCAGTTCCAGCGTGGCGACCTCTCGCTGTCTTCTTGGGGGCAACCTGCTTCTTCGATGTTTGGAGCTCCTCTTTCTCCTCCGAGTTCTTGGTCTGGGGAGGGAGCCTCCTCTTGGGCAAACTTTGAGGCTTCTTCAATGTTTGGAGCTTCTGTTTCTCCTCCGGGTTCTTGGTCTGGGAAGGGAGCCTCCTCTTGGGCAAACTTCGAGGGGCCGTGTGGTGAGAGCGCAGCCGCCCATTCCATGGCGACATTGGTGTACCCATGTTCACCCAGTAATTTTTTTTTTTTTGCCAAAACAAAAAACGCAGTCAGTAGGCATAATACATATATAAACTTGTAACTAGCATGTCCGTGCGTTGCCACGGGAGTCTCAAAATTTTCTAACACAGTAAGAGTGAAAAATATTGTGGGTCAAAATCAATAGATAAACAAATAGTGTTCGCTCGTTACAAGGGAAGACAAAAAAAAATTAATGCAACAAAATATGCATCAGGACGCACCTGCACTGCACAAAGCGCAAAAAATTCACTGCACCTTTCAGTAAATCTACATGACTATGTTTCTAGGAAACACGCACTGAAAAACTTCCAGCAAACTTTGAAGTGTCCTTCTTTTGACTAATGTATGTTTCTCAACTCAGATACCATGCTAACTGACCAGCTCTCTTACTGTGAGGAGTTATGGAGTTTCAGAGGTTTGGAGTGTTAGTTGATCTCCACCAATAGGCCCAACGGCCTATTGGGCCCTTGTCTCTGCTCCCTGATCGGGGGAGCCCAACCCTAATCCGGTTGGTGGGCCCCTGTCGCACAGCACACATAAAAGGAAAGTGGGGGTGAGGGCTCGGATAACGAGGTTCACTGGAGCCGCCACACCCACCTACAGAAACCCTAATACCGATCTAAAGAGCTGCTGCCAGCGACGGGATGTGCCCCAACCACCGCCGTCTCCCACTGCAGGACACCGCCGACGTCACTAGACTTCATCTCGCCGGCGCTGGACGTCTTCTACACCGCGACACTGGCTGCGGTGCATCTACTGAAGGGCTAGGAGCCTACTTGGATCTACGGGTTACACAGAAAGGTACTCACATCGATCCTAACAATGGTACCAGAGCAGGTTACCTCTGTGTATTCCTGTGTATCCCTAACCCTAACCGGGTAAAAGCAAAAGAAAGAGAGACCGGCTCACGGTCTACCGGTCATCACCGCCACCGCGCGTGGGGGAAAGGAGCCGCACCGTTCGACGGCGCACGGCAAAAGTAAAGAAAAGAACAGATCCTTTTGGATCAGAGAAGAAATAGGGCCCTAGGCTCACAGAGCCGAAACCCTAACCCTAGAACGGGGATAATCTGTTCGGGTAAACAAGGGAAAAGAAAAGAAATAAAAGAAAACAGAACCTAACCCTAGATCCATTCGGATGTCAAAGAAAAGAAAGGAAAAACAGAAAAGAAAAGGGAAAAGAATAGGGTCGGCATACGAACCCTAAACCTAACCCTAGACGGATCCTCATCCCTAACCGGTTGAATCCGAGAAGAAACAAAAGAAATCAAAGAAAAGAAAAGAAAGGAATCAAAGAAACCCTAACCCTAATCCCCTCCTTGGTTCGGTTCGGATAAGAGAAAGCGAGATCCAAATCGAAAAGAAGGGGTGGGAAAAGAGAAAGGGAAGGATGGATCCACCCACCGGGCGAATCGTCCCTTCGGCCGTGGCTGGAGAAGAAGTGCCGGCGGGGCGATTTGCTTCACGGCTTTCGGTCAAAGGCGCCACGGCCGAAGCCACTCGATGGCGGCGTGCTCACCCATCGGGGAGCACGCTTGGCAGGCGAGGGGCCGGGCGACAACGCCGCAAATGCTGCTCCGCTCACTCCCGCTTCGGTGTCCTCTCGTTAGGCTGCGGCTGCTGGCTGAGGTAGAGAGAAGAGAGAGCGGCGAAGAAGAAAGAGAGAAGGGCAAGTGCCGAATGAGACTAGGGTTTTCGGGGCCCGTGGCCGGAGTCATTTTTATTCGGCCGAAACAATCGGACGACCGTCGGATCAGATCCAACGGCGCCGGATGCACGGGCCCACGAGCGGCCCAAAGTGGGGGCAGCGCCACGGCGAAGCTTTGAAGCCCAGCCAGTTGCGGCACAGGTGCGGCTCTCACAGCGCGTGGAGAGAGGCGGGCCGAGCTGGTTTTACCGTTTTAGGCCGAAACAGTAAAGAGCAAGAGCCAGTTTTCTTTTTTCCTTTTTCTAGAAAATTGAAAATGTAAAATGGCTCAAAAGAAAAATAGAAAAAGTAATTTTATCCTATGGGTAAAATTCAAGAAATTGATGTAAAGTTTTTCCGCTGCTAAAGAAAAGGTATATTCTCCAGTGATTTTGAACAGACGTGATATTTAACTGATCAAAGAAAATATAAAAAGCAATTTTCCCTGTGGGTAAAATTCAAGAAAAGGAGAAGTTTTTCCACAGCTAAAGAAATTGTTTATTCTCCAGTTAATTTGTACCAATGTGGTATTTAATTGAAGAAAAGGAAAGTTTTCATTTGCTAAAGAAAATGTTGATTCTCCAATTATTTTGAACCAATGTGGTATTTAATTGGAGAAAAGAGTTTTGACATGATTATGATGTTATTTTCGATAACGTTGTTAATAACAATATCGTAATGCTAATGATTTATGCATTAATTTTACTTACGCCCAGCGGTGATGTAGAATTAGTGTATAAGAAAAGTTGATAATTTTAATGATTTATGCATTAATTCTACTTACGCCTTAGCGGTGATGTAGAATTAGTGTATAAGAATATATGTTAATTTTAATGATTTATGCATTAATTCTATTTACGCCCAACGGTGATGTAGAATTAGTGTGTAAAACGATTATGAAAGTTAAAGATTTATGCATTAATTCTATTTCTGCCCAACTGTGATGTAGAATTAGTGTATAAGAATAGTTGTATGTTTTGATTTTGACCAACGTTGGAATCAAGGCATGCAAATGGTGTTAATTTTATGTTAAGAAAAGATTTGACCTGGTTTTCATCTTGTTTAAGGTGGACTGGGTAGTCACCTCACCGTGTTCCACTGAGTTTGTGGCACCGGTGAGGGAGACAAAAGAGAATGATGCCACTTGGGCAACTAAAGAAAGGGATTTTGAATCCCAAAAGATATCCTATGGCTTTTGAGCATAGAAAGTGGGTCACTGTAAACAAGAAATGTTTGGCTGTGATAAAGAACATGATTGAACCTACAATTGTGGGCTCAATCCCAGAATATGACACGGTCACCAAGTACCTCGATAGAATAAAGAGCAGTTCACTGGCTCTTCAAAGATATGCCACTTAGCTGATAAAGCTAGTCACAGAGTGTTACTCTGGAAATGGTGGCATAAGAGAGCTCACGATGCGTTGTCGAAATTATGGCACTGTCGTTTAGGCCATATTTCGAGGGGGAGAATAGAAAGACAAGTTAAGAATGATATTCTTCCTCCATTAGAGCTCTCAGATTAAGTTCAATGCAGAGAATGCATAAAAGGAAAGTATGTAAAGAAAGATGACAAACGAAGCACAGGAATTTTACATATTATTCACACTGACATCTGTGGTCAGCTTTCATGTAAAGAGTGTGGATGGTTATGATCCATTCACAGATGATTACTCCCATTATAACTATATTTATCCAATCAAAGAAAGAAAAGATGTATTGGATAAATTTAAGATATTAAAGATTAAGATAGTCAGGTCTGACCGTGGGGGAGTACTACGGTCGACATACCCTAAAAGAATGGCATAGTAGCTCAGTATTCTACACCGAGCGAACCTCAGCAGAATAGAGTATCTAAAAGAATCAATCGTACCCTGATGGATATGGTGGGCAGTATGATAAGTTACTCCACCTTACAGTTGAACCTGTGAATGAAGGCGTTAAAACCGCCATTTATATTCTCAATAGAGTATCAAGAAAGTCGGTGCCCAAAATACCGTATGAGTTGTGGACAGAAAGAGTGCCCTCACTAAACCACTTGCGTGTGTGTGGGGGAGCCCTTCTGAGGCTAAAGTATTTAACCCAAATATTGGGAAGTTATATCCCAAAACAGTAAGTTGCCATTTTATTGGCTACACAGAAAAGTCAAAAAGTTTTCGTTTTCTACTGTCCAGAGAGACATATAAAGTTTATGGAAACGAGACACGCTGTTTTCCTAGAAGATGAAAAGATGAGGGGGAGCATGGTAGCTCGAGAAATTGTCCTTGAAGTGAAGCGGGTGTATGCGCCCACTCTAATGATTCATGAGCCATTTTTCTCACTACCTGCTGTAGCTGCACCGACAGTGCTAGATACTGTGGTGCTAGCACCTGTTGTTATCCCACCTGTGGCAACAATGAATGACGATGAGGAACCTGTTCTTCAGGATTCTATAGAACCTATTGCCACACATGAGGGGGAGCAACAACAGCCTCAAAATAGAAGATGTGCCGAATGTGAAGGCCCCTAGTAGGTCTCAAAGAGTTAGAAAATCAGCTATTCCTGCTGATCATGAAGTGTACAACACTAAAGAATTTCAAATGGAGGATTATCAAAGCCTCGTTTGAAGAAGCCATGAGTAGTGATCAGTCATCAAAGTGGCTTAAGGCCATGGAAGATGAAATAAAATCATTGAATGCCAATAAAGTTTGGGACTTAAAAATAATTCCTAAAGGAGCCAAAACAGTAGGCTGTAAATGGGTCTACAAGACAAAACTTGACTCTCAAGGGAATATAGAGAGATATAAAGCCCGACTTGTGGCAAAAGGCTTTGTGCAAAGAGAAGGGATTGATTACAATGAGACCTTTTTCTCCAGTCTCATGTAAGGATTCTTTCAGAATAATAATAGAATTAGTGGCACATTACGATTGAGAATTACATCAGATGGATGTAAACACGGCATTCCTCAACGGAGACTTGGAGGAAAATGTTTACATGGCACAACCGGAAGGTTTTGTCATGGAAAGAAAAGAACGAATGGGATGCCGCCTAAAGAAATCCATTTATAGATTAAAGCAAGCTTCAAGACGGTGGTACTTGAAGTTTGATCAGTCAATAAAGAATTTTGGGTTTTAAAGAGAATGTAGGGGACAATTGTGTCTATGCAAAGTTTAAGAATGGGAAGTTTATCTTCCTTGTCCTGTATGTAGATGATATCTTACTTTCTAATAGTGATGTCAGTCTACTACTGGAGACAAAGAAATTTGATATGAAAGATCTTGGCGAAGCCTTATTCGTTCTAGGGATCGA